TTTTTTTTAACACAATCATTTCAACAAGAACTTGCTCATACCTAAAATTTTTTAACTTAAAATAAGTGAAGATATATTTAAGGGAGAATCGAAGAACCATTCCCTTGTTCTATAATGCATCTTTAGATGTATCAAAGAACATGATATTAGTCATAAATTATTAAAAAAAAGACAAGAATTCAACTTTTTTTTTTTTTGTTAACTTAATATGAAACTAAACTTATAAGTTTAAATCTTTATAATGTTAAATAATTATTTTTTTGTTATTAAAAAATTCTCAATACCTATTCTCTCTATTTTCTGATTGAAAAAACCAGTAGCTGTTCTCTAACTTACCAAACGTCACCTATATTTTTATCCATTAATTCAAGATTAATTTAGATTAATGTTTTTATATTGAAAAGGTAAAATCTTTGAGGTGAGGGGAATTGAAAGCAGATGGGAGTTTATAATTTCTTTCCAAAAAAAATTGATAAAAAAACGAAAACATATTTAAAAATAAAGATTAATATTTATTTATTTTATCTTTTAATAATTAAAAAAATTATTTTAAAATCATATTATTTTAATAAAATATTATAAAAAATAAAAAAAATTAATTTATATTTTAAAAATAACATATTTAATTTTTAAAAAATTTATTAAAATAATATAATTTTAAATAATTTTTTTACTCATTTTAAGAAGATAAGGGAATGGGCACTGGTCCTTAAAAATATTATCATACAAAACATTTCCCAAATCCACGGAAAGTATTTTCCCCTACCATCGCTAAAACGCAACGTTTAACTGTTTTCATACGGTCGGCCCTCCCTCTCTTTTCTTCGTCTCCAAACTGCTTCACACCTCATTTTCCCGAGAAAAAGTTTCCGTATGCACGCAAGCTCCGGTTCGTTTCTCTCCGTCTGGATTTCCCTACCTGTAGAATTTCATCATGTAAGTTGCAGATTTCTTTCATGGTGATTGCTCTTAATATTATTGAATTTTTTACCACAAGAGTTTAGATTTAGGGTTTTAGCCTTCCTTCAATTTATGCTGTTATCCAAGAATTGAATTCATTGAAAAAGCAATACTTTTGCATCTAATATTCTGACCCCTGTTCTTTGTAATTTGTAGTGGTGATTAATTAAACTAATTGAATGATGGTTTAGATGGTACTTGGAAATTTAAATAGCTTAATGAATTGAAATTAAGCTGAGGTATCTAAAGTTGGGTGTTTGGATTGGCAGCAAGTTAGCTTGTTGGTTAGGTGAAAATTTTGAACTGGTTTTGTCTCTCTGACTTGTTTCGTTGTTCATAGATATGTAATTAAGAGGAAAGTTTGTTTTTTTCCGTAGAAAAGCGCTTCCATGTCTATAATCTGATACTAGTATGCTTAGACATATTAGTAATCTAAGTTGAAGATTGAGGCAAAGTTAAATTGTTAAAATGACTGTGTATGTTTTGTCACCTTCTTATTTTTGCTAAATGTCAGTGCACTAGAAAGCTGATTGCCTCTAAATTTCTGAATGCCTCAATAGCTTATAAACAAATTCATCTAGAGAGTTGTACAGATGGGATGGGCCCCTTATAGCACATTTACCTTCTCTTTAATTGGCAAGATGGGTGCACATGTATCTGATGCCAAATTTATTTTCTTGAAGTGTATTGTAAATTCCAAACTGAACAATTATTATCTAATGGACCTTATTTGCTTGGTAAAATGCATGTCTGTTGTGTTTGTCCTGGCAAAAACTTCAAATCTTTCTTACATTAGGATTCTAATTAACAAACATTGACAATGTATACTCTTGCCTTTTCTTCTCTTTTCTGAAATTTGTAGCCATGGATGCTGGAGATGATAAGAGAAAAGGCTCTATTCCCTCAATTATTATTGAATCTCACTCCAATGCTAATGAGGATAGGCTTAGCCCTGAAGATTTAGCTTGGGCTGATTCTTGCCTGGTTCAAGACGTTGAAGTTTTGGAAAGTAATTGGAATTCTTTTAAAGATGCATTGCTGGAGATTCTTGACAAGCATCCTGAATCACTTTCCTCTTCTGTAACTGAAAGTGACAGTTCTCCTGGTGGGCCTGATGTTGAGATGCTTCCTTCCATTGAGGAGGCGGAAGCTGTGATGTACCCAGCAAGGACTTGGGACAATATCTTTGTTGATCCAATCAATGAAGAAACAAAAACAAACATGGACGGTACTCCAATAGAAAACAACACTGACATTCCTTCCCAAGTCCTTCAGGAAGATGTTGTGGAATCATTCCAGGGAGATCCTTTTCTGCCTACGTACAGTGAGGATCAGAGAGTGGTGGAAGCTGTTGATTCAGGACTCGAGAGTTTTCCAATGAATGATATTGATCTATCAACAAGCGATATCTTCAGGGTCTGGGATTTGAACATTGCTGCTCATGAGGAATTTGATTTTGTTAAACAGTTGAAAAAGGCCCTTCAAGAAGTTGAGGATCAAAAGATAGAGCGAACTTTTGATGGAGTTGAAGATCAAATCAAAACACCAACTTCTGATGATTCAGTGGCAAGGAAAGATGTGAAAGAAAACTCCCTTGATCAGATAGTTACCGGCATTGCAGATCTGTCTCTGAATCAAGATTCTAGTTAATTTCTCTGCCCATATTTGAAACTTTTAGGTTTTAGAAATTTCCCTTGTAACAACAAGAATGAGGATCCTTAAAGTTGCATGTATTTTTTTCCATGGGATTCCTACTGAATCTTTAATGTCAAATAGCAGAAATGCATGAAAGCCTTGGAAACAAATGTTGCTGAAGCTTTAACCACTGATCATTCAAGTTTTACATCAACCCGTATCATTTTTGTGGGTACCCAAGACAGGCCCCACTAATGTTACGGATGTCTAAGTTGCACAAAAAATCCTATTGACAAGGTTTTCATATTTCTGCATCAAATCCTGAAACTAAACCAGGACCGTTATTCGAATCCGAGGTAAGACAACGGGAAAAAAAGATCACGACCTCATATTTACTTTCTGGAGGAATCTGGCGAACAGGGTGATTGTGATGCATTTGTCTATATTACTCAAAAAATCTTGGGTTTTTTTTTAAGCCTATAATTTCAATTCAAAATTTTTTTAACGAGGTGGGTATATAACCATCCATTTCAGCCACGCATGCATCCTGCAACTGTACAGAGTTATCGTCCACATGTCGCGCCCCAGTTCGTCGACGCACGACAGCCTCAAATTTGACATCTCATGACAACACCTCGACAATTATAAATCTATTGTGTTGGGAGTATTGCATGTGTGTGGTAAAGAGGCAGGAGAGATAGGAGGAGGAGATAAGATTATACAGTCTTAATTAAGAGGCTGCTGAGCCATCTCTTGTAGTTGCGACGGAATAAAATGGCAACAGCATCCGCAACTCTCCTCAAGTCTTCCCCTGTCCTTGACAAGTCTGAGTGGGTAAAAGGCCAATCCATTCGCCAGCCTTCAGTTTCTGCCGTAAGGGGCCACCCCACCGCTGCCCCCTCTGCCCTCACCATCCGTGCTAGCTCCTATGCTGATGAGCTTGTCAAGACCGCGGTATGTATATACTTCTCATTCAGCTTAAACTTCACTGAAACGTTGTTAACTTTAGAGTTCTAGTGATTTAGACTGCTGCATGCATGGGATAAACATTAATGAGGTTTTAATTGTTGGTTGTAGAAAACTGTTGCATCACCAGGGCGTGGGATTTTGGCCATGGATGAATCCAATGCTACATGCGGGAAGCGTCTTGCTTCCATTGGGCTAGAGAACACTGAGGCTAACCGCCAGGCATACCGTACCCTGCTTGTGAGCGCTCCTGGACTCGGCCAGTACATCTCTGGTTCCATCCTCTTTGAGGAGACTCTTTACCAATCCACCACCGATGGCAAGAAAATGGTCGATGTTCTTGTTGAGCAAAACATTGTTCCTGGTATCAAAGTCGACAAGGTAAGAATATAACAATCCTATTTTCCTTGTTAATTACATCTCAAAGTCGACCAAATATTTGTTAATTTGCAAGAACAAAGAGTATGTAGTGACATGTGGATTGTGTTGGTGCTGATTGACACTAGGGTTTGGTGCCTCTTCCTGGCTCCAACCAAGAGTCATGGTGCCAAGGTCTTGATGGCCTTGCTTCCCGCTCTGCTGCCTACTACCAACAGGGTGCTCGTTTTGCCAAATGGTACAAATTTCATCCCCATTGATGCTATTAAATCTCTAAGCCACTTGCGCCTGAAATATAACATAATTAACCTCATGTTGATTATAACTAGGCGTACTGTTGTGAGCATTCCCAATGGCCCATCTGCCTTGGCAGTGAAGGAAGCAGCTTGGGGACTCGCCCGCTATGCTGCTATTACTCAAGTAAGAATGCACATAAAGAAACTTAAGCTTATATTAGTTATGTTTTGTTCCCCAAGGATATGTTTGTGAAAGATAAAATGTTGTTACTTTTCTGTTGTAGGACAATGGGTTGGTCCCAATTGTGGAGCCAGAGATCTTGCTTGATGGTGAACATGGAATTGATAGGACTTTTGAGGTCGCCCAGAAGGTTTGGGCTGAGGTTTTCTACTACCTTGCTGAGAACAATGTCATGTTTGAGGGTATCCTCCTCAAGCCTAGCATGGTTACCCCTGGAGCAGAGTGCAAGGAGAAGGCCACTCCTCAACAGGTTGCTGAATACACTCTCAAGCTCCTTCACAGGAGAATCCCTCCAGCTGTCCCTGGAATCATGGTAACTTTCTCTTCCAATCTACTTGTCGTGGAATAATGTTGAATCATGTTCTAATCAATTGAAGTATTTGTACGGAGCAGTTCTTGTCTGGTGGGCAATCCGAGGTTGAAGCAACCCTTAACTTGAACGCAATGAACCAATCCCCCAACCCATGGCACGTGTCTTTCTCCTATGCCAGAGCTCTCCAAAACACTTGCTTGAAGACATGGGGAGGCAGACCTGAGAATGTTAAGGCTGCTCAGGAGACACTGCTTGTTCGTGCCAAGGCCAACTCACTTGCTCAGCTTGGCAAATACACTGGCGAGGGAGAGTCAGAGGAGGCAAAGAAAGGAATGTTTGTCAAGGGCTACGTCTACTAAGCTGTTGCTTGAAAAGCTATATAGACAAGATGATGGAGAGATTGACAACTAGTTTGTTCTCTCAATGTGTTAATGATTTATATAGCCTTGGAGACTATTTTTGTTTATGATTACATGTACTTTTTTGCCACTTAATATTTAGCTGTTAAAACTTTAAAAAATAACTATTGTATTGAATCAAAAAATCACCATTTTCAGCAACATTCAAGGGGTTAAGAGGGCATCGTCTTCCCAATCACCCACTAACAATATCATTGAACTTGATTGGAGGACATACATAAGGTTGAAAAGACTTAAAATTGGGAAAATATTTTTGGTATGCAGTAATTAGTGATTAAACCTTAAATCTGTAATCAATAATACATGTGACTTTAGTACTAAACCATATATCAGATGGTAAATTTAGGGATATATTAGTCACACTAACAAGTAACAACTTCATTTCTTTAGGAAAGAAATATCGATATTGGTACAAGAGTTAATTCTATTCAGCAGTCGAACATTTTAAAATGAATGGAACAGAAGCCTAACCCAGCTGCCAAAGATCACACACTCTTAAAGTCTTAATCCAGCAAATGTCCAGGGGTAACAGAACAGCTCAACAACATCTGCAGCCAAAAAGTGGAAAGGTATAATGAGGCTCCACCAAGTAAACTTATTTCAAGGATGAAACTTTGAATGTGAAGCAACAATAAATGCAAGTTAAGTTAGTGGTCCAGTGCCAAATTCCAACCACAAGATCAAAAGAAAATAAGTCTATGCACATGGAAAGTTCATCCATGGCAAGCTGGAAAAAAAAAAACCTATGCTATCTCACTTCTCTGCACAGCCATAGAACATTTATGAACACCAGACTAGACGTGCAATTGGTCACATGTTTTCTCATGTCTATTACCCAGATATTAATTCACTGAAACCTATGTCACCAAAAACAGCAAATTGCATCCTTGCTAATGGTGAGTGATTTTGACTTGGACAGTGTGAACAAGTATCCCAACGAAATAGTTTCCACTTTATGGACTATTAACTGTGGATAAACCCTAAAATCATGCAGTGTACAAACAAAAAAATCTATGACTTAAGTCAAAGACTCCAATCCAAAAACTCTTGATTATGTACCTACATTACATTCACTAAAACTATTGCTTCATTTTCTTAAGGATATCCTTGGTCACTCTTATCAAGCAAAATTCATCAAAGTACTTTTTAAGTTCATACAGATTCACAGAACAACTGATATCTTAGGGGTAATCCACTAATCTATCCTATATGAAGATAAACATAACCAGAATGTGCCTTTTCCAATAGCACATTCTTCGTATTTTCTTCTAAGTTCTAACCATTTACAGTGAGTCAGTCAAAGCAAGACAGCTCTTGTGAGATGTATAATGGCCAGAGCAGAAGATTATGTGATGTGAGAGGAGCCAACCAGCTATGGATGATCCTAATATTAACTATTTCTGAACTTCAGTTAAAATGTTTTTAATCTCACGCATTAAAAGCTTAACTAGCTTTTCAGTTTAAAGATCTCTATACTCTCAGAATATTCATATTAAAAAAAAAAAAAAGAATAATGCAATACTTTGCAGGTAAATGGGAAATAACTGTTACACCTTGCTCAGCTTTCAGATTCTCTTTTGAAGGGTACAGCAGGAACAACACTTGCAGAATCATGATTATTACCACTTGAAACATCCATACCCTATCATTGAACACAAAACCATTAAAGATTAAGTGAATTTGTAGAAGCATCAAAACTAAGTGCTTGATTGAAATTAGTGGAGAAATGGTTTAGAGTGGAAGTAGGAAAAGAAAAGGGACAGGCTTTGGAAAAATCAAGACCTGGTTAATTGAAGCCTGACCATGTACCCTTTGAGGCTTAGCATTTAGATCTATCAATTTATTGCTCATCTTTCCATTACCATCGGTGCTACCATCGAGCACTGGAACAGGTGACATTCTGTCATTTTGCTTGTTCTCTCTACCTGTAAGCTTAGGTAGCTGGTTCTGATCCTTCCTTACTTCATTCGGACCAAGTGGCTGCAGCCCCATTTCCTCCAAATGACCAGACTTATCCCCTGGAAACTACAACAAACACCCAACCAACAAAAACAAAATGAAGTTTGGAAGCCTTGTTTACATAACAGATCCAGAACCTGTCTAGTAAACAGACACAAACCTCAACTCTCTGTCTGAACAGAAGATATCTAGCATGTGTTCGTTTTCCACCAACATGCACAACCGTATCACATTGCAGGCAAAGGGAACTACCATCTACCTCACAGTAAAAGAAAGCTACACCCACATACATGTTTGTTTGTAAGAGAATTAACAAACTTCTAGTGCCCGTACCAAAAATTAAACAAATCCATATCCTCAAAAGTAACATATACTACTAAAAATCTTCATACCAGGTGCGTTTTCACATATATCACAACGCTGGACATCACTTGGGTCAGACAACCCAACTCGGACATGCCTGCTTGCAAGGTTGTTACACTTGTGAACCTGAAATACTCAAACAAAACACAAAATTGCTAACATCATCGTCTAAGTACGTATGTATAGAGATGAAATTGGGGACCTTTTCGTCGCAGGAGCGGCAGAGGGCAGCCTCGTCGGCGGCGCAGAAGAGGATTGCAGCTGCGCTCTCACAGGCGTCGCAAAGTGTCCGCATTCTACTTTCCCTCGCTTGCTCTCCTTTGTTTCAGCTACATCCTCTCAAATGGAGAAACCCAATTGAAAGAATTGAACAGAAAAGAAGAAGAGAGAATGAGAATTAATGGCTGACTCTGTTCTGAAGAAAGGAAGGAGAATTGCAGGGGAAGATCAGTCAGAGGAGGACGAACAGTTATTATAAATGGAAGAGAAAAGAGAGGGAAATTAGTAAAACTAAATCCAAAATGTAAATTTGTAAATTCAAAAATTCTGTAAATTTGAATTAAATAACCATAATTAAATTTGAAGAAAATTATCTGGTTGAGAAAAAAAAAATGAAAACAACAATATTGCTTCTATTAATTTTTTGGAGTGAATTTTTTTCATATGGTTGGAAGTTGTGGCTCTGAATTTAGGTGTTTTTATTAATTTCTAACATTTTTAAAATGTCAGTTAGGTCAAATAGGTTCCATATTATTATTACTTTTTATAAGTATAAATTAAGGATTGAATTTTAAGTTTATGATTGGGTATATAACTTTTTTAATAAATATTATTAAAAAATATAAATAATTTTATCATTAAATCACATAATTAATGATAAAAGATTATTTATGTGAATTTCTTTTATACATCAGATATTTTAAATTTTTATTTATTGTAAGTTACTTGTAAAAAAAATTAAATTTTAGCACCTGACTTTTCAGATTAACTGGTACTCTACCAGCTTGAAATGCATTTTCCTTTCCATAGACAGTTTCAAGCCCGTACCTTAACAACTTGTTAAAAAAAAAAAAAATTCATATTTATTCATTAAGATTTTTCTTTGGTGGGTATTTATTAAGATTTGAATTCTGAGTACAAACCTATAAAAGATGTATCATGATATGACAATCAAAAAGAAAAAAACAATATCATGATATGAAGTGTTGAAAATTTTGAGATGGGATTTTGAATTTTTGATATAAATAGCCAATAAAAATCCTTGATAATACAACGGGGTCCAAAGAGATTTGAGAACGTGCAATCCATTACTCAAAAGTCACCTTAGACCCATTCATAAAGAAAAGAAAAGAAAAGGGAGTTCCGTTGGACCGACAAACAAAGATTTTTTTTTTTTCTAAATGTTGTTTTGAAAATTTATTTTAAATTACTTTATATAGCCTAGTTAACAATAAGATTTTTCTCTCACATTATTAATCAAAATTCAATTATACCCATATATATATATATGAGCAATTCCATGTGATGTTAAACGGGCATCAAAGGATGTGGTTATATTTAAATATTTTTCTTGAAATTAAGAATATGAATTTGAGTAAACAAAAAAATTGATTTTTAATCCAGTTTTCAAAACACTTACACTTAAATTTAAATTGGGAGAGAATTTATTAGTATTGAGCCCCTCATTTCGTATCAAAGTTTTTTATTTTGATTTAGCTTGGGAGTACTGCTATGTAATTATAATTGTAGATTTTTTTAATATTTTAAAAATATATTTAATACTTATTATAATTAGTATTTTTCATATTTTTAAAATAATAAAAAATATAAAAACTAAAAATTAAAAGATCAAAAAACATTATCAAATAAAACCTTTCTAATTTAATACAATTTAAATTACAAAATTAAAAATCTTTATGCAAATTCACATTAGGTGCATGGTAAATACTCATAAAAATAGAACGAGAATGATATTTGAAACATCACTCCTCACAAAACAATTCCGTAGGCTCATCAAATTGAATGAGTTAGTAACATAAACCAAAAAAACTCTTCACTTTATAATTTAACATGGAATATATAGTAAAACAAAATCCATGAGTGAGTGGACGAGTTGATAAGAAATTTTTCTAGTTTAAATAGAAGTTTTGATTTTAAATTTTGAAAATGTAGTTTCATTAAAACTTATGAGAAAAAATTTTGTTATCTGTTGGGTTATATCCAACTCGAATATGAATTAATTGATAATCTAATAAGCTTTCAAACACTTAATTATTGAAAAAAATAAAAAAGAAGCAAAACAAAAGATACTAATGCAGAATTCACATTAGATGCATGGTACATGCTCATAAAAGTAAAATTGCAACGAATAGAGAAATGTGGTCATACATACGCTCGGTAAAGGAGAGCCATAAGTTTTTAAAGCGTACCGCGTGGTGCAATATGAAAGAAAGCTCCTCCCAAAGCAACCTGAGTCACAAATCTCATGTACTTGGTTTGACCCACAACATATATTTTAAGGCCATAACCTTTTCCCCACATCCCATTCCTCATGCTTGCCTTCTCTCATTTCCTTTGTTGGTCCCATCTTCTCACACCACGAAACTTCCACAATAAAGTTTTCAACCTATTGGCTATTTTTTTTATTTATAATAAAATATATCTAGCTTAACTTTTGTATATTTTAAAATTAATTTTTTAAATGATCTTAAAAATATACTTTTTATATTAATTTGATATATTCAAAAAAAATAAAATTTTATGATCTTAAAAATACACTTTTCATATAAAATTA